CTATACTGAATTAATATAAAACAGTAGCAAAAGAAAGATTTAAAAGATGAACATTAAAATGAACAGTTTACGGTTGATATTTATAGATACGTTCACATTTACCTGTGGATCTATGCCTGTAAAGTCCTTCATTAAGATGAACAATCTACGGCTATTAAATTGAGAAATAAAATGAGAAATAAAAAAGAAATCTTAGATTAATATATTTGACTAAGAGAGTATTAAGTCTTTATTGTTAAATTATATAATATAAGAATTGAATAAGAAACAATTAATAGAAGAAAACTATAGAGTTAGCAAAAATGTAATTTAAGTGTCATAATTTAGAATTAGTAAAAAACATTAATTATATATAAGAAAAAAATAGAATAATTTGAAATAGTATATTCTGAAAATAGCAATGAAAAGTCTTTAAAAACGACGTTTAGAAAACCGGTGCATTAGAAATTAATATGAAATTAACAACATTAAATAGTAAGAAACTCGTGCTATCATACGGTTACCGTCTGAATTCACATTATACGTCTCTCACTCTCATTTATCAAATTTTTATATATTTATTCAGTTAATTAACATTTATATAGTTACAAACATAGAAAGCGCATTGAGCTCGTGTGTCTATTTATAAAAAAATATTTGTAATTTATTCCATTTATAATAATAATTGAATAATAAATTGAATTTTTTTCGTTTATAAAAATATTTGTAACTTATTCTAGTTTAAAAAAATTATTGTAACTTATTTCCGTATATAAAAATATTTATATCAACATATAGACTTTTTCCCGTTTATAAGGGACTTGAACCCGTGTGATAATTTATAAAGTAAAATTTAATTTATTCATGTTAAAAATAATTGTTTTAATACTTCAATTTTTATCCTTTATAAAAATATTTGTAATTTATTTGCGTTTATAAAATTATTCTAACTTCTTTGCGTTTATAAACACATTGAACTCGTGTGTCCATTTATAAAAATATTTGTAAGTTATTCTCTTGTATAAAAATAATTGTAACTTATTCCGTTTATAGAAATAATTGTATCATTAAATTTTTATTTTTTATCATTAATTTTTTATGATTACCATTTATCATTAAATTTTCATGACTACCATTTAATATTTTTTATCATGATTACCATTGAAAAGATTCTCATAAATTTTAGTTATTTAATAAGTTTTAAAAAATTATAGAATTTCAATTGATTTTATTTTGTTTTATTAAACTTTTTATAAAAATCTAAATTATTTTAAAATATATCAATAGCATTCAAAATTATATGGTTTTTTCTTAAAATACTTTTTGAATGCTATTTAAAATTATATCAATATTATATATTTTATTTTCATTAATTCAATTTAATTGAATTTCAATGAATCGATTAATCTTTTAAAAATGATCTAATTGAATTAATTGATCAATTAACTCTTTGTAAAGTTATCATACGTATAATAGTTTCTTTCAAAAGTATTTTCTTAAGAAATATTCAAAATAAAGTATTTTAAGAAATATTAATAAAAATGAGACGATTTTTATTAACATTTCTTAAAAATACATGCTTTTTAATAATATTTCATAAAAATACATGATTTTTAATATATTTTAGTAACAAATATTATTTAAACTATAATAATACTTACTTAAAATTTTAAACAAATCACAATTTTGCTAATATTTTTTAATAAATTTGTTTTAAAATGATAGAAAATTTTATCGATTTTAATGATTCACTTTATATATTTAATTTCAAGTTAATCATTACTCATTTTAGAATATTTATTTTTTTGAAAATTATTTTATCATTTTGCAATAAATCATTAATCATAATTTATATGATTTTAAGATACTTATAATCATAAATCATAATTATTTTATCAATTAATCATAATACATAATTTATAATTGCAATAATTCAAATTTTAATCTCAAATGTACTTTTCCATATTCCCATGGACAGACCTTTTGAACCTTCATCATATATATACATTCTCTTTAATTTGTATTTACAACACACTTTGTACAACTGATTCATTGTATTCTAAATTTACAAAAAATAGATAGTGCATCTAAAAAAACATAAACAACAAATGAGAGGAATAGATATAAATAAATAAACCGTGAATGAAACATTGGAATTGGAATTCAAATATAAACAAATTAACCGTGAATGAAACATTGGAATTGGAATTCAAATATAAATAAAATAAATTAATAAATCAAATAAATAAAAAATAGTGTAAAATTATGATAGATTGACATGTCAGCAAAATTAAATATTTGAGTCGTTGATGTCTTTCACAGCTTCAATCGATCGCGCCATTGATGTTACTATTTAGACCCGTTAAAAAATCTGTATTAAAATAGACACAGAGAATCAAAATATGGGAATGAAAAAGAATTGGAAAATAATACGTAACCTTTTGAAAATAATGGAGAATGAAGAAGATTGAGGAGTGAAAGAGTAAGGGTTTAATGTATGGGAAGTTGTGATATCTTAGAATATCAAAATAATCCATTCTAATTCCAATAATATACATTTAATCTTGTAGTGTAATGATAAATAGTGGATATTTTTAAATCATGCAATGAATAATATTCCATTTAATTATAATAGATCTAAATAAATAAAAAATTGTGTAAAATTATGATAGATTGACATGTCAGCAAAATTAATTAATAAATCAAATATCTATAAAATTCAAATATAAATAAAATAAATTAATAAATCAAATAAATAAAAAATAGTGTAAAATTATGATAGATTGACATGTCAGCAAAATTAAATGCCAAATAAATATGGTAACAGCAAAGTGTTGATTAGTTTATTATACCCTTGGAATAAGAAAAGTTATAACATCTAATCAAAAGGTTAGATTTGGAATTTTCAGATACTTTACTTTTAATAGATTGATAATAGATTATAAAAAAATTTCTGACTCAACTAAATCATAGAAATAGATAATTCGGCACTTTTGCTCATGAAATGGTGTCAATTGTATGAATTAGTATTTAAGTCACGACCTTAATTGTGATAAGTAGTGTGATTTTGAAAAGAACATGAATCAAATGTGTGAATGACTAAAAAGACTTAACGAATTTTAAATATAGATTGTAGTAAATATTATAATTATTGAGTTACCAGGATCTATATCATTATTATAATTGTTGATGATGATGTATGAATATGAATTTTATATTTTTAGATATATAAGAAAAATCTTTATATATATATATATATATATATATATATATATATATATATATATATATATATATATATATATATATATATATATATATATATATATATATATATATATATATATTATCTACTTTCGCAGTAGAAGAATTTTAAATTTTAATATTTTATTTTATATATTGATCCTGAATTGTAAATTTTAATATTTTGTTTTATATACTGGTCCTAATATTTTAATTTGTAAAGTAAAATTTTTAATTTTATAAATTTACTAGAATTTTTGTTATGTAGTTTCAAGGACGAAACTAAATGATTTAAACTTTTAACTTTATTTATTTAGTTAAAATATTTTAAACAACCTATAATATAAATATAAATAGTTTCTAATTGTTGGTCTTTGTGTCACTATTTTATAAAATTATTTTAACTATTAAATTTTGGTTTATTATATTTATTAAAACAATAAAAAATAGATTTGCTAGATAAACTTTATTTTGATTTAGTAAATAATAAAATTATTTGATTATATTATATTTGTATTGTTACAACGCGCCATTTGTTTGGAGAATGCTTAGAAAACTCAATACTAGTTAACTATATGGGAAATCAAAAGTATAACAACTCATACAACAACACTTACATTTTAAGTTATCGTAATCATCCAAATTTCTTATGGAACAATAATAAAAATTAATGAAATCCTCCAGCACCATAGATTTCATTTGGTTTTCCTGCACCTAATCATGTTGTAAATACACTTGGAAAAAACTAATTGGAATCAATGATGAAATACACAAAGAATCAATTTTAAGCTCAAGGAATAAGTATAAAAAAATTGAAATTTATATGGGCCAGATTGCTTCTACTTTTAGTTCAAAAACCATTGGAGCACCTCGAAGTTTCATGAAGCAACTTACCCATATATTTAAACAACGGAAACGCCACATAAATCTATTCCAATGACATAAATACTAAGTTCCGGAACTTATAAATTCTAGTGTGCATTAAACAACCCCCATTAGAGATGCTCTAACAATCAAAGATAGCGGGCCTTCAATAGAGAAACCATATGTGGTAGAATTGAAGCAATTGCCTCTTTATTTGCAATATGATTACTTGGAGTCAGAATAGAAGTTTCCATATATCATTGCTATTGACCTCATTGCATAGCAGAAGTGTCGACTTCTGCCACTTCAAGAAAAGCATAAAAGAGTCATTGCTTGGCAAACGTCTGACAATAAGGGGATCAACCCAGTATTTACATGCATAGAATACTAATGGAAGACAATGTCATGAACAATATAGAGAGCTAAAGAAGGTTGAATCTCATCATGAAAGAAGTTCTGAAAAAAGAAATCATTAAATGGTTTGGATGTTGGATTTATGCTATTTCTTATAATGTTTGGGTAAATCCTATAAAGTGTGAACTAATACAAATTAGAGTTGTCATTGGTTGGAGGATGTGTGTGAATTATAGGAAGCTGAACAAAGCAACATGGTAAAATCTTTTACCCTACTTTTTGTTGATCAAATGTTAGATAAGTTTGTTGGAAGGGCAAATAGAAATTGAAATAAAAAAATGCTTATTTCATTAAGATGAATTAAAAGAATAATTTGCCTAAAGTAATTTGTCAGTAGAAGTTGTACATCAGTATTTGCAGATCAAAATTAGATCTTTGTAGTCTATATTTACATTTGTTCTCTATGTCAGATGACTAACAATGTATATACATGAAAGAATAAAACAATGTGATATCTATACATTACGGAGCTAAAGAATGTGTAGTGTCTAAAGATTGTCTTAGAAGAGTTTGCTGGCAAATTCACCCATGTCACCCACACCTTCCATTCTATAAGAAGCTGATTTTGATGCAAGTTCCCTCAGATTTGATATACTTCTTCCCAACTTCAGAGCCATCTTCATTTCAAACAACTCTCCATTTTCTCTTTTCGCTAAATCTTTCTCACTTAAAGTTGATTCAATTGAGGTTTCTAAAAAGTTGAAGAAACCAGCAGAACCTCTATACATTTCAAAAACCATGCCAACTTGGCCACCATGTTCGAAAGTATTAATTGCAGCAGCCAATGAACCAGCCATGAGAGGAACAAAAGCAGCCAAAGAACTACCATTATTGCCTATAAATGTAGATCCAACAGCTGCAATGCCTGTGAGTAATGGACCTGCAATTGCCAAACTCTTGTTTATCTTCAACGCTATGTTTCCAAGTCTATTATAATCTTCGGCATCCTTTCTCTTTATCACTTCAACAACTTCCCGCATTTCCATTTCTAATTCTTCACTCCATCCATTATTCATTTTCCCCATTTTCTTGCTTTGTGGTTTTCCTTTGTTGGAAGGCCACCAAACAGCAGGCTCAAATTTAGCGGGATATTTTTCAAGCATTGCTCCTAATAATGGAAGTGGGTAAGCTTTGTCAAGTGCCAAAACCTTATCCATTGTATCTTTGACATCTTCCTCACTAGGATTTCCTATTGCAATAGTGGTTTGGATTTGTCGTTGAAGCTGTTTAAACAATCTTGTCGCATTTCGTTGTTCCTCCGTGAGTTGAGAAGGATTAATTTTGTTGATGATAAGCAATAAACCAGTTGCAGCAGAGAATAAAAGAGCAGAAGATAGTTTCAAAGCCAAAAGTGAAGAATCAGAGCAAGTGGTTGCAGCAGCAGAAGCAACACCAGCCAAAGTTGTAGCAGTAAGAGTATGATGAAATAAGAATCAGACTTTGTGTACTTTCTAACTTCTTGTGTATTGCTCTTGTTGATAAATTACACACTCTTGGTCTTTTGTAGACTCAAAACAAAAAACTATTACAATTCTAAAACAGTAAATTAAATTAAACATAATTGCTACATAACTACTAAAAAACGATTGCCTTTCCTACTTCCATAGTTAATTCCCAATTATTTATTTCTAACCCATTTAATGTTTTTATTTCAACAAAACTCCTCCTTAAACATTAAATGCTTCTTCGATCCAGCATCCCAATCATCTTCCTGCCTCTTTCAAATACTTCTCTTGCAAGTGGTTTTGTAAGGATGTCAGCTGCTTGATCTCTGCTTGCCACATGCCTTAGTTCCACGCTTCCTTCTTTCACATGTTCACGTATGAAGTGAAATCGAACGTCTATATGCTTGCTTCGTTCATGATTGACTGGGTTCTTTGCCAGCTCAATAGCTGATTTGTTGTCCACGTGTATTATTGTTGGACCTTCCAGTTTCAGCTCCATCTTACTTATCAATCTTCTGAGCCACACTGCATGGCAAACGCACCAAGATGCTGCCACGTATTCTGCTTCACACGTTGAAAGTGTCACTATTGGCTGCTTCTTCGATAGCCAAGTGAAAGTTGTGTTTCCCATGAAAAACACGTATCCTGCAGTGCTCTTTCGATCATCAATGTCTCCACACCAGTCACTGTCAGAATATCCAACTAGCTTGTAGTCTTCAGTCTTTGAATAAAATATCCCAAGTGATACTGTTCCTTGGATGTATCTCAGAATTCGTTTCAGTGCTTTCCAGTGTGTGTGAACTGGCTCCTCCATGAATCTGCTCACTATGCCAACACTAAGTGAAATATCTGGCCTTGTGCATGTGAGATATCGAAGGCTGCCTACCAAGCTTCGATATTTGCTTCCTTCGACCCGTTCTCCTCCATCAAACTTCGACAGCTTTGTGCCTGGCTCCATTGGTGTCGAAATTGGATTACAATTCTTCATTTTATACTTTTCTAGGATTTCCTTTGCATACTTTTCTTGTGATATGAAAATCCCATCTTCTTCCTGTCGAACTTCCAGGCCAAGGAAAAATCTCATCAGACCTAAGTCTGTCATTTCGAATTCTCTTGTCATGGTGTTTTTGAAGTCTTCGATCATCTTAATGTTATTGCCTAGAAAAATGAGATCATCAACGTACAGTGCCACAAGTAATAAATCACTTCCATTTTTCTTCACATAGAGCGCTGGCTCATAAGGGCATTGCTCGAATCCACTCTCCTTAAAATATGTGTCTATGCGTGTGTTCTATGCCCTAGGTGCTTGCTTCAGCCCATACAATGATTTCTTCAGTTTCAGCACCTTCTTCTCTTCTCCAGCTCTCATGTATCCAAGTGGTTGTTCCACATAGATTTCTTCTTCGAGCACACCATTCAAAAATGCTGTCTTGACATCCATTTGAAATATTTTCCATTTGAACTGAGCAGCTTGAGAGATGAGTAGTCGAATTGTCTCCATTCTTGCGACAGGCGCGAATACTTCGTCATAGTCAATACCAGCTTTCTGCTTGTATCCCTTTGCAACCAGTCGTGCCTTGTATCTTTCGATCTCTCCTTGAGCGTTCATCTTTTTCTTAAATACCCACTTTACACCAATGGGTTGACATTCTTTTGGTAATTCGACAAGCTCCCAGGTTTTGTTGTGTTCGATTGCTTTAATTTCTTGATCCATGGCGCTTTTCCACTTTTCATCTCTTAATGCTTCTTCAACACTTATGTTTTCAGCATCTGCCAGGAGACACACAAGATGCACCTCACTTGTTGACTCATACAGATCTTGCAAACTTCTCATCTTAGGTTGTAGAGGTTCATCTCTTTCTTCTGTTTCTTCATGTTCTTCTGAAATTCTAGTTGGTACAGCTATAGTGGTTTCTTCAACTGTATCAACAGCCTCTGTCGAACTGTTCCAGTCCCACTTGCTGGCTTCATTCATTCGAACGTCTCTGCTTACAATTACTTTCTTGCTTATAGGGTTGAACAGCTTGTACCCTTTCGTCTTCTCATCATATCCAATAAATATGAACTTCTGGCTTTTGTCTTCGAGCTTTGTTCTTCGTTGGTCTGGTACATGCGCATAAGCTATGCTACCAAATACTTTGAGATGGGAGATTGTTGGCTTCTGACCACTCCATGCTTCTTGTGGTGTTTTGTCTTCTAGCTTCGAATGTGGACACCTATTCTGAATGTAAACAGCACATTGTACTGCTTCTGCCCAGAACTCTTTCAGCATACTCTTGCTTTTAAGCATTGATCGAACCATGTCAAGGATAGTTCGATTCTTCCTTTCAGCCACACCATTCTGCTGAGGTGAATATGGCGCTGTAAGGAATCTTCTTATCCCCTGTTCTTCACAGTATTTTACAAAGGCAATCGAAGTATACTCTCCTCCTCTGTCTGATCGAATTGCTTTGATGTTTCGATCTGTTGCCTTTTCCACCATCACTTTGAACTTCTTGAATACTTCGAGTGCTTCAGATTTTTCTTTCAGAAAATAGACCCAGGTTTTTCTTGAGTAGTCATCGATGAAGGAGATGAAGTATCTTTTTTCACTGAATGATTCTGGGGTAATTGGCCCACAGATATCAGTGTGTATCAATTCGAGTATCTGTTTGGCTTGATACTCTGCCTTCTTCTGAAATGATGTTCTGGTTTGTTTGCTGAGCACGCATTCTTCACAGAATTTTCCTTCGAACTCCATGTTTGGCAATCCATGCACCATGTTCTTCTTCGCCAACCTTTTCAGACCAGCATGATGCAGGTGACCAAAGCGCATGTGCCACAATGACGCTTTGTCTTGTACTTCGATCTGCAGACATTTCTCTCGAATGTTCCTCAAATTAAGTTTGTACATTCGATTTCTCTCCATTTCGACAGCAGCAATCAGATATCCTGCTTTATCCTTCAACTGCAGTGTTCGATCTTTCATCAGGATCGAAGCACCATTTTCAGTGAGCTGTCCCAGACTTAATATGTTGGTCTTAAGATCTGGTACATAGTAGACATCTTCGATTGACCCAATCAAGCCATCCTTTTGCAAATAGCTGATTGTGCCCTTTCCTTCAACTTTCACCTTCGATGCATCTCCAAAAGACACGCTGCCATCTTCAACTCCCTTCATATCTTTAAACAGGTGTTTGTAACCACACATGTGATTACTTGCTCCTGAGTCAAGATACCAAATACTGTCATTGGTGTTGATTTCGTTTTGGGCCATCAGGAGGAACCCTTCATTCGATTCTGCTTCCAGGGCCAGATTTGTTGTCTCTTCAGTTTTCTTTTCATTTCGACAGTCTTTTGCAAGATGTCCTACTTTGTCACAGTTGTAACATTTGTAGGAATTGCAATCCTTCGCGTAATGGCCATACTTGCCACACTTGTAGCATTCGAAATTTGAGTAATTCGAACGACCACCTCTTTGGCCACGTCCTCTGCCACGCCAGTTTTGTTGGCTCGAATTTCCTCTTTCGAAGTTACTGCCTCTACCACTTCGACCACTGTCACGTCCTCCACGTCCACGTCCTCTTCCTCGAAAGTTGTTCGAGAAGAGTACTTTTTCATCTTTCGATTCTTTTGTTTGGTTTGCTTCTTCGTCTGCCTCTTCTTTCTTCTTCATCTTTCTTTGTTCATGTGCTTCGAGCGAACCAGTGAGCTCTTCGATTGAGAGCATCGAAAGATCCTTCGATTCTTCTATAGCACACACCAGATTTTCGAATTTGTCTGTTAAAGATCTTAAGATCTTTTCAACAACTCTTGCATCAGCCACTGTTTCTCCATTTCTTGTGAGTTGATTTACCACTTTCTGCACACGGGTGATGTAATCTGATACATTTTCTGTATCCTTCATTTGTATCCTCTCCAATTCGCCACGAAGCGTTTGGAGTCGAACCTGCTTCACTCTGTCTGCTCCTTTGAACACCCTCTCTAGTGTGTCCCACGCTTGTTTCGACGTAGTCGAACTAGCAATCTTCTCAAAGCCTGATTCATCCACAGTCCGGAACAACATATATAGTGCTGTTTTGTCCTTCGCTCGCAACTCCTTCAACGCCTTCGTTTGGGCTGCTGTATATCCTCCAACTTCTGTTGGTTCTTCAAACCCATCATTGGTCACTTCCCACGCATCTAGAGATCCAAGAAGAGCTTTCATTTGGATGCTCCAGTTTTCATAGTTGGACTTCGTTAGTCGTGGTAACGGCATTTGGTTCATCATATTCGCCATTAGCTCTGATGCCAATTTGATGAAATAAGAATCAGACTTTGTGTACTTTCTAACTTCTTGTGTATTGCTCTTGTTGATAAATTACACACTCTTGGTCTTTTGTAGACTCAAAACAAAAAACTATTACAATTCTAAAACAGTAAATTAAATTAAACATAATTGCTACATAACTACTAAAAAACGATTGCCTTTCCTACTTCCATAGTTAATTCCCAATTATTTATTTCTAACCCATTTAATGTTTTTATTTCAACAGAGTAATCATGTTGATAGAGTTTAACAAAAGAGTGTTCCAATTGTTCCGTTGTTGAGCAATGTTGTGATGCATTTCAACTCTGTCGGAAACAGCTTCCAAGACTGCATAGAGTTTAATAATAATAATATCATTTGTATTCCTGTGGTGTGATTGTGTGGTGAGGACAACACTATTCTTTTCTAATTGATCTGTATTAAT